GTAGTGGGAGGGGCAGGGGAAAGGAAAGAAGGGAAAGGAAAAAATGGAAATAAAGTCTTTGTAAATAGGGAAGGGTGGGCTAGGAATGGGGAAAAAATAAGAACCAAGATGCATTATAAAAAGGTACAATTCCCAGTGAGAAATGTAATTGTGTTGTATACCTACAATGTGCAAATAAAAGAATTTAATACAAAAAAAAAAAGAAGGAAAAGGCTCTAATATAATTCCTATTATCCTCAGGTTTTCAGTAAGCCCATTAAATTCACAAATACTTGGGGAGTGTGTGTGTGTGTGTTTCATCCAAGAGCGACATAGTACATAAACCGATCCAGCCAATGTGGATTCAGAAAGCAGGATCTTGGAAAGATCTTGGATTCATCCAGGCTGTGGAATGGGGAGGGGAGGAGGAGCTGCAGGACTGAGCCAAGGCTACGAGCCCCCATACACATCTGGTTTCTGCACCCGTAGCCCAGCTGGGCATTACAATCCACCCCAGAGAGCAGAGGGGATTGAAAATGTACCCTTAACATCTTTTGTCTGGAATACTTCTGTGAATTATGCATCTTAATACATGTTTGTGATAAAAATATTGATCCCATATTTTAGGTATTTTGGGGATGTTGGAATTGGAGAAATATGCCATTGAGGAATGTTCCATAAAGTTTATAACTTGAGTTAATTCATGAAAAAAAAATGTCATGTCATTTTAAAATAATGGTTCACGTCTGAAACCGTCTGAGCTAAACATTGTTTCGGGTGCTTCATTTAATCCTTACAAATAACTGTATTTGTAATATGTACTATTATCCTGCTTTCCCCAATGCGGAAACTGAGGCACAGAGCCTACCTTGCCAAAGACCACACAGCTGGAAAGTATCAAAACTAGGATTTAGTCCCAGACTGCCTGCTTCTGGAGCAGGTACTTACCCACTATGTAATCCTGTCTGAGAGAGGTTTTAAGTATCAGGTCAACAAAGACAAATATTTTACTCTACACTGAAATTATGAGAGCCAAAGACTCAAAAGCACTGAATGAGAGCTATGTGGGAGTTAATTCAGGAAGGCTTCCTGGAGGAAGTGGATTTGAAGCAGTTCTTAAAAGTGGTTATGGAAACAGGTTCTCAGAGCTGCCTCTGGCAGGCAGGCCTTGTGGCTGACCATCGTACAGGACAGGCAGGAACACAGCATCTACATTCACCACTGTGGGTTCTTTGCTTTTTCAACAAGCAAAAAAAGCCCTAACAATGAATGCTGGTAATGATGTAAAGGCATGGGTACCCTGCTGCTTGGGGCCTCATAGAGTGGCACAATCCTAATGAAATGTAACTTGGCAGTATATCTCTAGATCTGTAAAAATACCCATGTTCTCTGAGCCAGTAATTTTTTTCCATAAGTCTATTCTACTCCTAGAAAACAAACTCAGAATTTGAAGGAACTATCACTTTGTGTGCATGAGAGGGTTCATTACAATATTTACAGAAACGAGGTAATAAAACAGGGTAAATAAACCTCTAACATGAGGGACATATTCAGCAGATCTGTGTTAATGTTTCTAACATCAGTGTTCATTAAGATGATCGTTATGGATACTAGGAGGCAGCATATCAAATGCTTAGGAGTACTGTTTAATATGCATATGCAAATATGCATACACATGCTTATACTCATGTGAATATGGCTGGGTTTTCCTGTTGTCTTTTTTTGGGGGGGGGGGGTACCAGGGATCGAACTCGGGTCCTTGCGCTTGCGCAGCAGGCAGCGAAACCACTGAGCTAAATCCCCAGCCCTCATCTACTGTCATTTTTAACACTACCTAAAACCTAGAGAGATATCCCCCAAAATACAAATAATAATTATGATGTAATAATAGGAATAGCAAGGGTTTTATTTTCCTTTTGACACCACTTCTGTTGCATGCTTATATAATAAAATTATTTTAGTATATAAAGCCCCAAACTGTAGGAAGAGGCTACCACACACTCACCGTGAACACCTTCTCTGGGGCCCCTTTAGCCCTCATGTTGGTGTCATGGACTTGCTTGAGAATCATCCAGGCTTCATCATGTTTGCCCATCTAATAAAACCAAAGAAAAAGATGTGAAAACCTATTCCTAAATAGGCCCTATGTTCACTGAGGTGGAAAAACCCTACAAAGCAGGCACTGATGCCTGGGTCTAGGTGGATTAGACATGGACTCATTGTTATCTAGGGCTTGTGAAAGGACTAGGACAAGCTTCCATCCCAGCCCATCATGGAAGGATAATAGGGTTGTGTCTTTGAGGTATAAATGTCAGGTATTATTACCATTATCCACTGTGAGTAATTACACACAATTATAAAGTTGAGTAGGGCAAGGGATGGGAGCCATGCTCCTCACTGATGACATAAAGCAAAGTAACAACATGCTGTGAGTCAAAGTCCTCACCTTCAGTACCACAGCATGTGACCTCATTCGCAAAGAGAGTGATGCACATGTAATGAGTTAAGATGAGATCATCTTGGGACAGAGTGAGCCCCTCATCCAAGATGACTGTTCTCCTTCTAAGAAGACAGCCATGTGAAGACACAGGGACACATGGGGGAAACTCCATGTGATGACAAAAGCTACAGTTTAACAGATGCAGTGGAAAGAACAGTAAAATTTGCCTTGACCACCACAGTCTGCAAGGAACAAGGAAGGCTTCTCTTCAGCAGGTTTCAGAGGGAGCATGGCCCTGCCGAAAGCTTGATTTGGGACTTCTAGCTTCCAAAATGCTGAGACAGATTTGCTATTATAAGTCACTCCACTGTGGTCCTTTCTTACAGCAGCCCAAAAAGACAAGCACACAACAAAGGGTGAATTTTGAGACAATTCCCTGCTGCATCTGCCTGATGAGTGGCAAGACAAGGAAATTCAACACAAAGGATCACCCCGCAGAAGGCTCAAGAGGGTGGTGGGTCAGTGGACTCCGGGGGACTGGGGCTGTGACAACCTCTGTGCCCTTCTGCCAACACCTCCCTGTCTGACTACTGCAATCTTCACAGTCCCCCAAGTTGGGAGGCTTACGGGATCATCTCTCAGGACCCCAGGTAGCTTTCTGGGGAGGATAGGGGTCCTGTGCCCTGGAGGCTCTGGGGGCAACAATGAGCTTTACCTTAGACCTCACTGCTGCAACACAGAAAAGTAGAGGACCAAGTCCACAGGTGGAGGAGCACGAGGCAGTTCAGAAACAGCCCGGCCATCACCACCCAGCCTTGGAGAGGGCTCTTGCTTGGGACTCCATGAGCTCCTGGCCCTCCTGCACCATCAGCCCATAAACCTATGATCTGCAACCATCACCAACAGAAAGGGAGGCAGATTTAATGATGCATGAGGTCAGCCAACCTGGGTGAGTTTGCAAGGAGCAATCAGGAAAGGATGAAGAACCTCAGGTGGAGGGAAGCAAGGCCAGGACTCCTGTGGCTGATGAGGAGGTGCAGACTCACCTCTAGCAGAAACCTGGGGCTCTCGGGCATGAACTTCAGGGCCACCATGGACACAGTGCAAGGCAGAGCACAGACGATGACAAACACTCTCCAGCTGTGGAAATGGTAACTGGTTCCCATGCTGAAGCCCCAGCCTGCGAAAAAAACAAAGAATTCCTGGTGCACAGTCTTTTCTGGTGCAGAAAAGCACCCATACACCAGCCCTCAAACTCCAGGACATCTAAGCATCACCCTGGGCACTGGTTAAAGGGCTGATTCCCAGCTGCAAACACAAAGTTTCTGAGTCATAAGTCTGGGATAGGAGCTGAGAATCTGCATTTGGACAAATCCCTAGGCCCAGGCTTGACCTCACATTTACAGATCTTTGGATAAGAATGCAAACAGAAACAATATCTCATAATTCTAAAAAGGCACTGAGTTTTAAATAAATGAACTGTTAAATAAAAGATGTTCTTTCTATCCACCTTCCTTGGCAAATAATGGCCTGGAAGACCAGGCCCAGAATCATACCTTCCTTTGCTAGACGCCCTTCTCTTCCTCCCCCAGCTCCTCCCACAGAGCAAGGGGTCCCAGGCCAACATGTGTGGGCACACCACTCACACCACTATGATGAGAAGAGGAATGCTTGTCTTAACCCCCAAATTTAGTAGGAATTTCTGGGTTCTGGGTACCCAGAGAATGAACTGGTTGGGAGGGCATATTGGTCAGCTTTCTCATTGCTGAAATAAATGCCTGACACCTACAACTTAAAGGAGGAGAACTTTATTTTGGCTCACGGTTTCAGGTGGGTTCAGTCCATGGTTGGTGGGCTCCAAGGTAGAAACAGAGTAGTAGAAGGGTGTGGTGGAGGAAAGCTGCTTACCCCATGGCAGCCAGGAAGTAAAGAGAGAGAGAGAGAGAGAGAGAGAGAGAGAGAGAGAGAGAGAGAGAGAAGGAGCCAGGCCCAAGAAATCACCCTTCAAGGTCACACACCTAGTGACTCACCTCTTCCAACCAGCCCTCACATCCAAATAGCAGAATCTGATACGATCTCATTCACTAACCCACTGATGAGTATAGTGCCCTCACGATCCAGTCACCGTCTAAAAGGCTCTGAACACAAGATGTTGGAGGAACATTTTAAATCCAAACCACAGCAGAATGGGGTGAAGTCCACAGGGTGATGTCTAATGGAACATCCAAACCAGGTCTTACGTGGCCCAGGGCTCGAGGATCCCTTTCAGCCAAGTGAGACCAGCTCCAGGCAATTCCAATGCAAAGATTCAGGAACACTTTGTAAAACTCTGTAAGCTCTAATATGACTACATTAAAATTATTTTTTTTAAAAAACTTAATCTCTCCATTTAAAATGACTCTCATAATCACTGAAATGTAGAGATGCCCAGGTCCTATTTAGCTGTCATTGTGCAAAACATTGCTAAAATTCATTTCCAGTAGTTACGTTCAAGCATAATTCTTGAATACCCTCATGGGTGGCAAACTTTTAAGGAACAGTTAGACATTGAGAAGATCCTGGACTTTTGAGAGTACATAGATCAGAGTTCAAATCCTGGCTTTATCACATCAGTATTGCAATGCTGGGTTTTCACAGCTATAGACTGCAGGTAATGATACCCCACAGATTTGGTAGGTGTGAAAGCTCCAGGCAACCCATAATAACTACCCTGCTTTGAAGGCAGATGACTCTTTTAGAAATAGCTATGTGACATTTAGTGCCAAGGCTGAATAAAATGGATGAATCTCAGCAAAGATCAGCAAAAGAAATGTTTTTAAAAAAGAAAAGGCTATAAGATAAACTGATCCTATATATATCTATATATCTATATCTATATATCTGAAGACAATTCAAAGAATATATTTAATAGATAAAACTTTATAAATAAATCAATTGATCCCTATAGTTTATAGGATAATAACTATTTGCATATAAAATTTCTAGTTCATTTACTTAAAAATATATCTTATACCTAATTTCAGTGGCAGGCAGCTTATGTCTTAAATTTTCAGATTCCCCATGATGATTCAACTCATTTTACCTGCAGAAGATTCCTAATCAATACTTTCTTTTCCTACAGATATTTCCTACTCTATTGGTACAATTAAAGGATGAGGCCAGAGGAATCCAGGGGGCAAAATGCAGCCACTTGGGCACTTTTGGCCACAGCAACAGAATGCATACTTCATCCAACAGACTCAAAACCAAATCTCTTTCTACACCACCTGATCTCTTCCCATCTCACTGGGGTTTGTTTATTCACTTTAATTTTAATTAAAAAGCCTTTCCTTTCTCCTGGGAGTAAGACCAGAAAGAGGAAGATAAAATCATAGCAGTATTTACACATTCTCAGCTCTGATTCAAAAGCTGTTCTTGCATCATTAGAAGTAAAATTGATTGAAACTAAACAGCAGTCACATTCGACAGATAACAGAAAAGAGGGCCCGACGCAGGTATATTTACAAAGTATTCTGCCTTGGAAAGATTTTTTTATTATGATAATATGTGTAAATTATCAAAAAATCCATCATTCCCTCATGCCTCTCTGGTTTTATGGTGATTTCAGTAATCTTCATTTAATGCACTCATTAGGCACATCTTTAGGGGCTTAAATTGAATAAAATTAAACAGTGAACTGCTTCCAAATATTCGGAACAATATTAATTTGGAGGCAGGGATTGTTCTGTTCACTGAAATTTCGGCTTGCCCTACTTTTCTCTGTCAGGATTTCACAAACATCTGGTGGTGCTGACTACAATGAGAACTAATCTTCCATAATATATCCATTTTTTCTGGGCTGTGCCCATGAGTTCCCAGGAAAACATTCTGAATTTTGTAATTTTCTCTCTTAATGAGTCAGTCACCCGAATTTTGGGAACAGAGACCTCCCATCATTCATACTTGCAAAAGCAATTAAATGGGTTACACAAACATCACTCTCCTTTTTAAGTCACCCTTGCCGTTGTTAGAGGATTAGTGTCTCAAGCTTATTGAGAAATATCACCAAATGTCTGGTTCACTGTGGACAAAACATCTGGTCCTGGTAAAATAGGGCTTAAAATAATCACTCTTCTTACACTGTAATTATAGTCTGTCACATTTCGAGACTGAGTTTCCACCACACTAATGCCTGTTTTGATTAAGGCTCTATTTTTAAAAAGAGTATAATGAACAGTCACAGAATTCATACAGGCATACAAACAGGGAAATGTGCTGTCCACTTGGGGTGAAATATTCAACCACAAGCTCCACTGTCAGCCAGCAGCCATGGGACCCTCTGCCATGGGCTCTCATATGGTTTCAGTCAACAAGATCCCACCTTGAATTCTTTTATTGCTTTCTTAGAAACCAGACACTTAGATATTGGAGTATATGTTTATATGTGTAAAGTGGGGTTTAAAAAAGTTGGTGCAGTCTGCAGTGACTAGTATGCATTGCCTTCTCCCTTTATAACATCGTTCTATCCTTCCTTCCCCATTGTGTGGCAACATGTGATTTGGGTGAGGCTGGCCCCACCCCAGTTCCAGAGATGAAGAAGGATGGATGACTACACCGTTCAGCACCTGCATCTTCTGAGGTATAGTGATTAGCCGAGGTGGGCCCGTGACCTAAGCTGATCCAATTAGAAGGAAGTCAAAGACCTTTGCTCACTGGCTGAGTGTGAGGGCATGCTTTCTTTGTGCAACAGGAAGTCTGCAAACAGGAAGCCTAAGATTGCTTCGGGAAGCTAGCCAAGTACTAGAACCATCTTGAAATTTTTTATCAATGCTCTCCTTTGCACCCCAGGAGCTGCAGACTGGCAGGCATGCTGCTGTCAATTCTATTGGTTTCCCTCCTCCTCTCCATTTCATAGGTGAAGGAGACAAGGCTGAACAGATGGAGTAACTTGCACCATATCACACAGCTCAACTATTTTGATTCAATTTTATTTGTCCCTATGCAAAAAGTTTTTCAATCACTTTATTTAAACATGGGAAATGTTTCTTAGGGTTAACATATTTCGATCAGTTAACAGGGGAAGTGATTTATATCAAGAGTTATGTGTTGGGGCAATTTTTCAGACCATATAATGAGCAGCACAGTACACAAGAAATCAAAGTACATATCTGGGTGAAGGGCTGAGTGCCTGGATGTTAGGCGCATGCAGTTTTGTGTGTAAAGTTATACAGAACTGCCTATAGTGACAGAAGTAGCTGGAAAATTCTTCACCTCTTTATTATTCCTGTTCATATTTCTTCTCTGTTTCTGATACAAAATCCAGTGACTTTTCACATACTGGATATGGCAAAGACTACATGATGTCCCCAACCTTTTCCTCTCTTTTTTGGACACATGGCAGGGCAATGTCTCCCAGCATCCTATGCAGTATGGTGGGGTTATATCACATTTGGAGGGGCCAGGGGAATGTGAGCAGAGAAGGTATGCTCCACTTCCTGGCCCACCTTTACCACCATCAACACAGCCAGCCACAGTGAGGGAATTCACATAATCTCAGCTACTCAGGGCTGAGGCAGCAGGACTGCTTCAGCCTAGGAGTTAAGGGCTAGCCTGGGCAACACAGAAAGATGCTATCTCTTAAAAACACAAACAGATATACAAAAACATCAATCTACACCTGCCTGTGCTCTTTCCCCAAACTTGAGACCTTATAAGCCATCTGATAAAGATGACAGAATTATGTGATGGAAAGAATCTGAGCCCCCAAATTACTGATGGAACAGAGCCACCTGCAGATCAGAAACAGGAGCCAGACTTTACATTTCATTGTGTTAAACCACTGAGATTTCAGGGTTTATGGGTCTATCAGAGTAATGTAACCAGTATCACCTTAACTAATGTAACAGGTATTGTCTACACCAAAGCCTCCTCTTAAAAAGATATACATAGAGCCTCCATTAGCTCAGGACACACAGCAGAGGGGGTCAGACAGGAAACAAGGTCAATGGATAGAGAGATGTTACTTAGCCTCAGGAGCACTGTCCGCTTCTCCCTCGTGGTCTGCAGGATTCTAAATCATAGCAAACACCGGACTCATAACCAATGGTTTGCCAAAAATGATTTTGAAGTGCACTGCTGGCATTATCAACACACTCAAAAAGCGTAATAAAATTCAAAACTGCTGGCTTCTCCCCATTTTATTCTCAAAAAAAACCCAATAGTAAAAGTTAACGTTGCTAATCTCTGTCCACAGAATATAGTTTCTGCAAATATCTGGGATAATAAAATTGTCCAAGCAGAACCCATGACCTTGTCTAAAAGGGCTGCAAACAAGAGTGACAGCAGCATGAGTGGAAAATGTACAGGTGGCTACACCTGGAGGGGACACCAGGATCCTAGCCCTTCCCCACTCCATACCAGGGGCATGACATTGGGCGCGTTGTCAACATCCTGGCTTTTCTTATGTCTGTAATGTATAAAATAGAGCTGTCAATGCCTAACTTGCTGGGAGAGGAGGGCTGGAGGAGACAAGGGTTGAAATCCTTTCAAGTAAAAGGAATAAAAAACAAAGGGAGAAAGAAGGAAGAGGGAGGGAAAAAGAACAGGCTGCATGATTTCTGAAAAGATCTGTGTATTGAAATTTACAATGTGTCTCCAATATTAGAAGTCCTTTGGAAAAACAAGGTCACATACAGGAGCTATACGTGAATATAAGGAATAAGATGAAAGTCAGGCAAAGTTGTTTCCGCACAGGAGCCATAGACACAGGGGCCCCAGGCTGTTTTAACCCAGTGGCTCACCATAGTGTGGAATGATGCTCCAGGCCATGGCAGATGCGTAGATGCCTCCAGTCATCCAGAAGATGCCCAGCCAACTAAGGTGTTCTCCTCGCTTCTCTCGAGATAAGAATTCAGAAAAATAGGCAAACACAATTGGCAGAGAGCCCCCAATACTGCAGACAGAAAATACCAGAAAGAGAATCAAGTTATGTACTGAAAATGGTCATAGCAGAAACCATGCTGCCTTCTACCTCACCCTGAGGCTCTGTGGGGAAGTAAGCTAAGAATCTGAAAGTCCAGCCAGGCAGTTCCTCTCTGCATATGGGAAGCCATCTTGGATTATTTTGACTTCTCACCAATTTTACAGCTTAGCTCTAACCTTCACTCTTTCTAAGATTCAAATTTAATACAATATCTTCAAAGTCCAACAAAAACTCAGGCCAAGGGATTCTGGAGGTAGCACACAGAGATAGAGTGCCATGGTGGATGGGCTGTTGGTCTCTGAGGGGCCAGCTCAAGGTCTCTGAGTCATACCCTATGCCTGAGATGAGTCTGCAGAACAGGAAGGCGCCATATCCCTGCACGAAGGAGGACAGTGAGGCGAAGGAAGCGTTGACAGCCAGAGACATGCTGAGGACTCTCTTCCTTCCCAGCTTATCAGCCAGGCCGCCCAGGATGAAGGCCCCCGCCATCATTCCCAAGTAGACTATTAGCCCTGTGAGGAAGGGAGACAGAAAGAAGGACAGGGAGAGAAGACAAGACATTAGAGACCATATGATGTTTAGAAAACCTAATGTTCAATTTTTACCCCATCCTAGAAATTCCATATCATAGACATAAAAGAAGAAATATGACAAAACACTCAGCAAATTAGCAGTGCTATTCAAATGTGATTTTCTACAAATGTTACTCCAAAAACAATAGCCTTGCTGGGCTTACATACATGTGCACATACCAACATAGGTCAACCAAAACTAGGATAGATATACCTTTCTTAAAGATTATTCTTTTAGATGTACAGTCTATAGGCAAGGGAAATGCTGTAATTTTACTTTTAAACATGTGTTGTTACTAAAAGTGTCTTCACCTGAGGTGTGGTGTTTAAGGAAAGAATTTCCAGGGTAAAGTGTGGCAACATAGGTATGAGAAAGGTGGGACAGAAAACCACGTTGCAGATGAAACACGGCAATTGCCGAGAGGACTAGCTGTCATTCCACACTCAGGAAGGGCAGCTTGCAATCAGTGTTGCATAATTTGTACATGATATGAGATAAGTATACAATTTCATTCTTCTCTGTGTAGATAACCGTTTATTCTTTACTGAATTTGTCATTAGTTCTAACAGTTTTTGGTGGAGCCTAGGGTTTCCTGTACTGTATAGAAGATCATGCCATCTGCAAACATAGGTAGTTTTACTTCTTCCTTTATTTTTTTTTATTTATTTTTTTTTTTTTTGCACTAGGGATCAAACTCGGGACCTTGAGCTTGTGAGGCAGGCGACGGAACCACTGAGCTAAATCCCTGGCTCTGAGAGGTCTTCTTATGACTGATCCAATCTCCTTATTCATTTTTGGCCTATTCATATTTTCTATTTCTTCATGATTGAGTCTTAAGACGTTGGATAATCCTAGGAATTTATCCATTTAAAATTATTCACTTTCTTTGCATTTAGTGTTCATAGAGATCTCTTATTTTCTTTTGTATTTCTGTAGTGTCAACTGTAATTCATCCTTTTTCATTTCTTATTTTGTTTAAGTTTTTAGTAAGTTTAGCTAAAGGTTCATCAGTTTTATTTATCATGTCAAAAAACAACTTGATGCTTTAACTCTTACACATTACTGCTCTTTATAATAAGCACTGGTCATATTTCTTAGCTCTATATTAGTTCCTTCTTTCCTTGCTCATCTCCAGGACTGCTTGGTAAGTGGGGGAATGGCTCCTTCCTTTCAAGAAGATAAATAATAAAATGTATGATTATTCCCAAGTGAGAGAAAGTGCTCCAATACAGGTATGTGTCAGTATCATTATTATTGGATAAATCTCACCCGATGTGGGAGGCTTCCAAGGCAAATACCTGAGCTGCTCTTGAAGGACAAATGAAACTTAGTCAGATTTCCACTGGTGATGGGGCAGTGCATGAAAGACAGTGGCAGACTCCATGTGCAAAGACAGGAAAGCAAAAGAAGCCTGACACGTTTGGGGAACCAGCAGTACGTAGTGTAGTATGAGGAGGGCATGGTTCATGGGTGGGGGGAGCACTAAGACAGAAGTGTAGGACACAAGGCAAATCTGTGTGTGTGTGTGTGTGTGATTGAGAGTGAGACACATGTGTGGTTGTGTGTGTGCGTGTGTGGGTCCAGAAATCAAATGAAAAGAAGTGAGAGTTAGGGTAGTGGCTGAGAAACAATCTTTATACCTCTTTCCCTGATCCTGCCCTGGAGAAAAACACTAGTATTTAACGAAAGTTTATTTTTCTTTTACTTCAGTAAAGGTACATTCAGCACTTTTTGAGAAGTAAAAGCCACCCTTCTAGATCCTATTTCTAGACCTGGCTTAGCCAGCTGCTCCCTGCCAGTGTCTGCCAGCAGAGGGCATTAAAGGGAGGCTTCAAGGGTAGCGACTGCTTTCTGTTTCAATAAATTTCACAGGAACAACACCTCTTCATCCAGGCAGCAGCAATTGCATCCCATGGTGGCAGCTGAATCCAGTTAGGAGGAGCCACACTATGCCCTCTTCCTCTCCCACACTAGTGTAAGTCAGCAACTATCCCCTCTTCCCAGGTCTGAAATGTAGGTCCATGGGCCCCTTCTCTGAGCTGCTAAATTATAATCATTTCAATCTCTTCTCTTTATTTCTGCACCCCTAGCAGTGGTAGCTACTCCCTGACTCCACTACCTCAGGTATACTTCTTAAAAACATTTATTTCATCTTCTCGGTCAATAATTTTTCATATCAAAGTCTCTCTTTTCAAATAACTGGTATAATTTCTGTCTCCTAGCTCTTCTCTGAATGATCTAGAAACATAGGCAAATTGGTAAAACTTTGATAAAGTATCAAATCCAAACCCCTTGGCTTTACCAGGTGAAGAGGTTGACCCCAAGAAGGTCAGTGGCTCACCCAGACCCTGGACATGGCTAGGGACCTGCCATCACCGCACCCCTGGCCTCCTGGTGGTTTTGCTAGCAAACCACCCTGCCCAAGGCAACAGAGGTAACAGAGAGAACAGGAAAAGCTTCTCAAATGCTGTCTATGGAAGCTGGGGAAAGGAAGAATAGAAGAAAAATGAGCCTATCCACCAAGGAAGAGAAATATGAAATTAATGATGCTTCTGAAATGTCTGTGTTATTAAACTCATTTAAAATCTGTCTTCAGGAGAAGAAATTAAGACAATAAATTTGGAAAATTAAAATTCAATGGAGTTATCAAGAATTACTTTAGCATGAAGCAGAAGAGGGACTAGTAAGATATCTATCACCGTTCAATTCCACTCAACCAGCTGTGTGGTATATTAAAGAAATGTCCCCCCAGTATACTGAGATTTTTAAGGAAATTAAAAACTGATTGCTACTTGCTGAGCAGACAGGATGAAGGTGAGGGGAGAAGGGTCATGGTGGGATAGGAAAGGCTTTTAATCAGTGATCATACGACCTAGGAAAAGGAATGCCCTCCTTGGAAGAGGGAGGAGCCAGCATTGATGTCTTGAAGGGAGGAGCTGAGTCTTGAGCCAGCGGCAGTGTGGGTGAGGTTTTGGCTCTGTGATGACCAGCCTGACCAAAGGCGCCCCATTCAGCATCTCTGTTACTTCTCTGCAAAATCCAGACAAAAGTACTCCTCTTGCAGAATTGTTAGAATGACATAAGAGATGGGTAGAAAGTATAGAACAGGACGCCTGGCACAAAAATAAATGTCCAATCAATAAAAGGTGCTCTTGTTGGTATTGGTGGTACAGCTCAGAATTGTCTGCAGCCTTAGAAAGCCATAGGCTCAGAAAAACAAAAAGAAGATGGTGCTACTTTAAAATCAAACCAATTACACATTAAAGGAATCTGAGGAAAGATAATAGAGAATAGCAGAAGAAACTTATTTATAGTAGCATGCCCTTTAAATAGGCCTCCCTCCCTCCCTACTGGAGACAAAGCCAGGTTCCAATAAAAAGCCTCTTCGACTAAAATAGTTTGAAAGTTTTCTCTAACAAGACTGTGAGGGAGAAAAACCTTTCCAACTCTTGTATTTCTTAAATCCCCAGATTAAATGTCATCTCCTCAGAGTAGCAACCCTGGTGTTCCAAACCAGGCTTCCTCAAACTTTTTCTGTTTAGGGCCAAAGAAGAAATATGTTACTTGTAAATAATTACCTTGTAGACCTCCTGTGATCTCTGTCACATCTTTTTCTGCTTTTTTTAAAATTCACAATGGTGTATACCAACATACTTTTAGATAGAAGGAATAAATTATAGTTTCTACAGCACAGAAGGGTGACTAGAGTTTATAGCAATTTATTTGTTTCTTTTATAAAGAACCAAAAGACAGGAGTTTGAAGCTCCCCTATACAATGATATGATAAATGTTTAAGGAGATAGAAATACTAATTATCCTGATTTGAACATTGAGCATTGTATACATGTATCATATTATCACAGCATAAATACATACAACCATTATGTGTCAACTGAAACTTTTTAAAAGAAAAATATTTATAACCCTTTAAAATGTGTAAAAATAAAAGGAGGTCACAGGTCTGTGGGCCATAGTTATAAACTATTATTAAAACATATGGTAAATGTTTAAATTTTTAAAATTTTATTACAATAAAAGACACATTGGCATTAATCCTCCTCACTTTGACTGCTTACTGACCACACTTATTCCATTGGTTTTGCCATTCCATTGTTTTTTCTGGAAAACTTTCGTGTCTGCAGTTATACCAGCATGGCTGACTTGATGTCCTGAATCACCTCAAAACATTTCCTTTTCATGGTCATTTTGACTTTAGGGAAGAGCCAGAAGTCTCATGGTACCAGATCTGGTGAATAAAGTGGATGAGGACGCACTGTAATGTTTTTATTTGGCAGAAATTGCCTTAAACATTCTGAGTCGATTCAGGACATAAAGGCAGCCACAAAAAGCCACAAAAGAGGACTTCCAGGACCTCTTCAGAAAGCAGCATGATGGCATAAGTGAGCTCAAAGTGGGGGGAGTATGCTGATAGTGATTCATGGCAATGTGTCCTTTACTGTAGTACAATTTTTAGATTTCTACTTAAACATTCACTGTGATTTATGATCACACCTCAACAATGACCGCTGCTCCAAACAAAACTCGGTTATCCCTGCTCGTATATCTGCATCACCATGACCCTGACCCTTCTCTTCATAGCACATATCTCTATACACTTGTCAAACTCCATTGACTGTGAACTCCTGTAGCAGAGGCCAGCACTACTTCTGTCTGACCTGAGTGTGTATCTTTCACTTAGCACAGATTAGGCACATAGTAAGTGGCACATAGTAGGCACATAGTAAGTAATATTTGATCAATCAACAAATAATATAAAAATTTATATTTGCAGAGAAAAATCTGGAAAATACCCAAAGATTGTATAAAAGGTAAATCAAAATCTATCCATCACATCACCAGTCAAAGACAGCATGTTTTATTTCTGTATTTGCCTATGTACAGCTTTGTACTGTATTGACACGTTTGAGACTATTCTGTA